CAATATCAATATAAATGTACTCATAAATATAAGTATAAATATAATCATAAATATAAGTATAAATATAAGTATAAATATAAATATAGATACAAATATAATTACAAATATAAATATAATCGTAAATATAAATATAAATATAAATACAAATATAAATATATTATAAATATAAATATTAATATAAATGTATCATAAATATAAACATAAATAAACAAATAAATATAAATATAAATAAACAGATAAATATATATGTAGGTTATTTTAATAACCTTGAGTATAAAAGTAGAATGCTGCGAAATCAGTGAAATTTTGGCTCTGTTAAGCGCGGGTTCACAGTCCTTCTCTAATGTGATACGACTTCGCACGCTTCTTCCCTAGATTTTTTCCCTTACCTTCGTCAACTGCTCAGAACTATAATTATAAGCCACATAATGTACTAAACTTTAATAAATCCTTATGAAGCAATTTACTTTTAAAGATTACATACTTCTGAACTACGTTAATGACAAGTATAATCCTCTAATTGTTATTCTAGATTTCTCTCTAAGCAACAAGTTTTGCTCATACTTTTGAAATCTCAAATCTTTATGCTTACTGCTCAATCAGAGATTTAAAATTAGTTCTTAACTTCAATCTACTTCACCTTATACTATCTACAAAAAAATTTGCGATATTGCTTTCTGTATACCCGTTGCGTTATATGCTTAGTTGCCGCGTACCTAACATCTTATAAAAACAAGCTCTTTTCTTCGGAGTTCGCACTTCTTAGAAAGCCCCCACATCGAAACCCTCATTTTTCCTACCCGTACACTTATCTAAGAGGGAAGAGATAGGAGCACTATACCGTGGGGAAATTTAATGCAGAAACTTCGCTTATTTGTGACTTTCTCTGCTGAGTAATGTTTACCTTTTGCTTGCACAGAAGTTACTTTTTGCTCCTGGAATTTTTTGCGCAACTGTTTTAATTCTTTTCAATCTTGAAAATTTCTCAAAACCTTTGACGCTTACTAGTACAACTAAGTTGCAGCAGAATTTAATTTATAGTCACTACACCACGCGAAAGCACCACGCGCTTTAGGTAGCCCTGCTGCGCCTCTTGCAAGCGGCAGAAAAAAACGCATTCAGCACAAATTAGCCCCGTTATTCTGCAAAAGATTAGAAAGTTTCTGTACAGTCGGCTAAAAGTTTTTTCTTAACTGCTGCATACCACTCTTACGCTCTTACGAAACTGACATTGTATAAGGAACTGTAAGCATACGACATACTAAACGAGAAGATTCAGTCCACATTCACAGATAATTACAAGAAAAATATATTAGCTTTAATTGAAGAAGGATAGCATACCATGCTGTGTGAAAGGATAGCTTACACCGCGTAAAGTTTGACCGTACTGAATAAAAAAAAAAGCAATAAGGAAATGACAAGTTTTAGCTTACAAAAAAACTGAAACCTCTTTGCTGAGTACTAATTCATTTCTCCAATGCCTTTCTCGCATTGAGCCCTTCAGTCTTCCTGCATCTCATTAAAGTTCCCCATCTTCAAAAAATTCCGTCTTTACCATAAAAAAGAGTTCGCTAAAAAAGAAGATGCCAACACATAAATATATATACATAAATATATATATAAATATACCTATATGATTATGTCTGCACGCAGTTTGACTCTACATATAACTTGACTCTTTTTTTCAGTTAGGGCTTGATTTCTGTATCAGTACTTTTGAAATAATTTTTGAAGATTTCAAAATAAAGCGTCAGTAGGTTTAAGCGCTCATGAAAAACGAATACTAAAAAACTGAGTAAGTTCAACTTCAGTACTTTTAAGAATGCAGATATTCAAAATGAATTTGAGTTTGTTGAGGAAAAATAATAAAGAAGGGCGGAAGGTATGAATTAGCTTTGAGACGATATGAAAAAAACGTTGCAGAAAACAGTGTTCAAATGCTAGACATTTCACGGTACAGCATATTCTAAATTTTTCAAGCGACAGAAGGATATTAAGAGAGGGTCCTTCTTAGTCCCAGCGCCGTTAACTTCACAGACAAACAACCGCACGCAGCGTTTGTGACGACTGATAGAGCCCCAGGTGACAGTGGCAAGGCGACATTTGTATTTGCTGAAAGCGGAGTTCAAGTGAATGTACGTTGGTACCTGAGACCAATTTCCTGAAATCTCGAACCTTTTAAAGCATGTCTTTCAGAAACCTCTAAGACTGAATTATATCTAACACAACAAAACCAACAAAAAGTAAAGCGCTCTCAGTTCTTTCACAGTACTAAGGAATTACTTTTGCTGCTCAGTTCTGTATATTCAGAACATCACGTTATATGGAAACTTTTAAAGAGAATATTCAAAGGCCATTGGTAATGCCGAATTAATATACCAGAGCTAGCGATATGAGAGGTAATAGATAAAAAATCGACCACAACACTAGTGTACTGTAAGAAATTCGGATAATTTTTAGAGCGCTGTTCAAAGCAAAAGACTAAATTTCTGAGCCTCTTTGGCGTATAGCCATTGTAAATAAACAAGTCTTCAACCACTATTGTTAGAATTAGCTCCTATTTTCTGAGAAAAGAAAGAAGAATAAATAAATATAAGTTTTTCAGCTAACATTTATGACAGAAGTACCCTTGCACCTTATATAAGCAATAACTTCATAAAAAGCAGAAACTTTCTAGTTAAAAAAGAGATTTTAGAATATACAACACGTTAAGAACACGTACAAAACAAAAGCTTGACAGTTTCACCTTTCATTACCGCCATCGTTCTAATTTTTTAATTCTGACTCGCGTATTCCCTAAAAGAAATCTGCATTATCCCTGATTAAATGCAATTCAACAATAATTTTTAAATGTTTCAAATTTCCCCTGACCGCAGAAACTTTTTTTATTTTCCACAGAAAGAAATGTGTTAACTAGAAATTTTACATTTCCTGCTGCCATTCAAAATAGCAACCTCCTGATCCACTTGTCATTTCAAATTTGAATCAAGTTTTTTTTTTTTCTTTTTCGAGTAATAGGCTGAGGCTAAATTGTTAACTTTTCTAGCTGCAGTATAACATCGATCACGTTTTGTTCTAATTAACCTTTTGAAATGTGAAGCCAACTTGGCTCCAAGCACGGTTATGGTTTTTAAAAGTACTGACTACCAGTTACAGAATGTTTTACATGTAATATTCTGTAACTGTACTAATGGAAATATTTAGCGGCAGTCAACGAAACTCGACTGATAAAGCATTTTTATGACCTTTGCTCATCAAATACCTGTAACTTTTTCTTTGATACAGCAGAAGTAAGGATAGATGTCTACATTGTAATATATAATATATAAATCTATAATATATAATATATAATATATAATATATAATATATAA